ATGAAACTAGCCTACGCCCCTGACTTTAATAACCCAATGCTCAAGTGTTGCGCTTACTTGTTAAAAGAGACGTTCACAAACGGTGCTTAGAACATTTACAATATGAGTAACACTAACAACAATAATTATAACTTCAAAAAGCTATTGAAACGGGTCACTTAATTACTGTCCCAACATTTTATTTTTTAATCCAATTTTATATAAATTTTATTATTTATTTATTTATTTAATTTTATTTTAATTTTTATTTTATTTTTTTATTTTTTTATTTTGTTTATCATTATTCATATATAACTATTTAGAAAAGAAATATTGTATATTTTGATAAAGTACTGTAGAATAATTTATACATTTTGTACCATTATGACACAAAGGAAGACCAATCGGAAATTCAAATTTGACGTCTTATCTTAGGTGCCACCATTGTTGAAATATTCTTTAAATTTATAAGTAAAATTAGTGATTTAAATTTATCAATCGATTTGTAAATGTTAGGTGAAAATCCTCAAATAGTGTTAGAATATTGATGAAAGTATAAATTTTAAGTATAAAATATCTTGTAAATACCCACCAAACAGATGAATAGTTTTGTCTTTGTAAGTATAGGAACAGATACATTAGTTTTGATATTGTATATACAGAATATATTTAGATAATTGTCACTTGGTTCCAGCCAGATTTTAAAAATTTGATCAAATAATCTATTTGTAACAAAAAGTCATGCTTTCTTTACATCATTTACATGCATAACATTACGTCATTTTTTTCATCCATAAAACATACGTAATGTCATGATTGTTTCTTGTCTGTATTTCAATTCTCTTACTTTGTGTGCGTTAAACTTTGTTCTCTTGATTCCGTCCATTTACATATTACCTCTTGTCTTGCTTGTTTCCGTCCATTATTTGTTAGAGTTCATGTAGTGATGTAACATTTCCATCCATTATTTTATAGATGTAAGATTGTTATTATTAATTCAAATGGTATAAATCAAATTATGATCGATCTTAACGAAATAAATGTTACGAAAATGAAATACTGCTTTGTGTTTTTGCTGTGTTACAAATTTGCAGTCTTTTAATCATCATACCATCAATCATTAAGTGAAAAGATTTGTTCCGACTCAAAATCTTGAAAATCTAGTGTCAGCTTTTCTTTAAAGTAAGGCTCTGGAGGAAAACAAATAGTGAGATACAGATATTTGAATATTTAAAAACTGGGGGAAAAACGTGGAGAAAAAGGGTGGTTATGCCCTTTTTAAACATCTTTTTTTTGTGTCTTAGAAAACTCAGTTGTTCAACATATCAAATAAATGTTTTTCTCCAGAGCCTGGCTTTAAATAAGGAGGAGCACAACATATTTGTATGATATCGAAAAAGCCACTTTTTACGATTCAATAATCATTTCTGTAACTCATCCATGAATAACATCCCTGTGGTTTCCATTTTACTAACCAAAAAGCGATTTGAGTGAAGGTTAAAAATGAGCCCTATGAATTAGGCCTGTCCTTAAAAAAGGAAGGACCAACTATGACTTCCAAGTTTCTCTGTGCCGTAGGCCCTAATTGTAAAGATAATAATGTTATCTAATTCGGTACCACAAAAGAAAACATTGCATATTATGATGTAATAATAATATGTTGATGATGGTGGATGTACACTTGGAAATTAAATCAAATTCAGCTCGTTCATTATTTCACCCACCTGTGGCAATTTAAGCAGAACCGGAGTTATTAAAAACAATAGAATTATCAATGATAAAGATAAAGTTAACAAAATATCAACGTCTCTTAAGTCTTATGCCAGTTGTAGCACACAGGGGGCTATGAGGTAGCAAACTCGAATTCTGAAAAAATTTACCTAAAATTTACCTAAAGACTCGCAAAGATTACACATTAATCATTAATGATTGTCATGATAACCTTCGTAATGATGGATCATATCATTATAATCATGTCATCATTGTCATGATGATGATCATCATCATCATAATTATCGACATACACGACGATATACGATACGATCCGGGCCTACTTTACTCTCAGTTACAAGAGACTCGACCAATTAATATACATGCAACAATTTTAAATACACAATTACTATGATATAACAAATGTATTCGATTGAAAAATCGAAATTGTAAAACCAGAATAATAAAGAATGTATAGGCTCTATACCATACCAAAATAAATCAAACGCGTTCAAAGTGATAAAAAGAAGTGAAAGTGACAACATTTGTTTATTTTACCGATATATACAGTGCATAGCCTATTTTAAGAAAAATGTTTTTAAATTCAGAAAGGCCTACCATTAATACGTTCCAAGATCAGTTGATTTCTTACAAGTTATTTTAAAATGATTTATAACATTATTTCTTGGTATGGCGTATCTTCGTACTCGTAAAAGAAGTATAGTCAACATTTATTTTTAAGATGGCCCGCAAGTTAATAGGCCTATCATATAGGCATATTAAGTGTATTTTTCTTCAAACTCTTAAGAATAAAATTTTATTCATGAAGGAAGAATTTAAATGGGGTGGTTGGGCTTTCAGGGGCGAAGACCCCGACAATTGACAATTTAAAGTCAGACTCCGGAGGGAAATGTAGATGGCCTATGTTGATAGAACTGATTTTTCTTAAGACAGAAAAAAAGTTGTTTGACGAAAAAATGGGGATTGGTGAATGAGATACAGATTTTTGAATTTTTTAAAAACTGTATCTCATTCACCGTTCCCCAGTTTTTCGTCAAACAACTTTTTTCTGTCTTTGAAAAATCAGTTTTAACAACATGGACTAGGCCTATCAACATTTTTTTTCCTTCAGAAATCTGACTTTAATTTCGGCTTTTGAGTCTACTGATATGTCGAAAATACATATAAGTTTTTTTTTCTCCCCGGCGAATTGTGGCTTTTCTCCCCGACGGGGACATGGCACCCGCCCCATCCCCGCCCACAACCACAAGCGCCACACCTTAGGTGGTGGTATGCCACGCCACTGATAGTAGAGAGTATTGCGTTCCTGTAAGTCAGATACAAAATTGAATCAAGAACTCCATGGAACGTTCCTACCTTGAGGGAAATGAATTAATTGATAAAATACATTCTAATTTTGTTTGTTGAATCTCTATTTTACAAGTAGGCCTATCTATTCTTGTATAGGCCTAATATGCTGTCAGGACATGAAAATCTGGACCTGTGAGACACTAATTAGAATAGGCCTATGTACAGTAAAGATTTGTTATTGATTGAAAGGCTATTGTGGCCTCGAATCGTTTAAAATCCCATCATCACCAGCCTCGCAAATTACAATAAAGGTTCCTAAACCAAAATAATTTTGTAGTTTATCTGAATTCGATTTATAGATATGAAATATGTCTTTACATAATGTAATATCACCATATTAAAGTATGTTTGAGTGATATAGGGCCATAAACATCCCCGATCCGCGAGCCTTCCTCCTTGGTTTGGAAAATTCGTACAGCCCGCTGATTACGTCATTCGCAGGGCCTGATGGGTAAATATGGCTAGCGAAACACGACAGGAGAGAAATGGCGAATCCAAAGTCTTGTAGCCCAACTAATTTTTTAGGCCAGTCTTGGTCTAATTGGGCTGATGCAGCGTTTTCTGAAGAAACAAATGGTAATCTAAGTTTACGATACAGTTTGTAGTTTGGGTAGTATTTGATTATGTGTTTTTTATGCCCCAAAAATAATATGTTTAAATTTTCGGCCCCTCTGTGTTTTCCGCTATTTCAGATACAGAAAGCACTGCTGAGGCTTCGGGGGAGGATTCATCGAAAAGGGGAAATGGCAAAGCAGAATCAATGAAACTTCATAGAACTGGTATCCTTTATAGTTGTACAGACATACATTATATATTTCAGTTTTTCTATAAATGTTGGAAAAATTACAGGGCATTTCGATCTATCACCCGGTTTGGTGGTTTGAATCTTGGTAAGTTGTATCTCCTACTGTACAGGCAGGATAGGCCTGTCGCGAATGCGGCACCCAATGTGTGCAGTACAATACCCGCGATTTGAATATCAGCTGTGGTATCTTACTACAGTGTCTAAACACCATAAATAATCACAAATACGGAAAATGAAATCACTATAATTAGGCTTAGAATTAAAATTTATAATTTAAATTATTATGTGTTCAAAGTAGAGGGTTAAGACCCCTTGTACATCTTAGAAAATAGTAGTTTGTTGTATTGTTTACACTTGTTTGTCCTCTCAAGTTTATAAAAAAAAATGAAAGATGAAAATTGATTTGGTGTTCCATACATTCTTTATGTACCACTGATTTTTAAAATATTTTATGAACGTTCTTGTACGCGTCACTTATGTAAAGTTATCAAACCCGAACTTGTTTGTACCATATCTAGTGTCACACCCACTATTCTTCATTATAATGATTTTTGGTGAATTTCTTACTGTTGCCCATTTCTTCAACATAGAATGATGTGATAATAATTATGTTCAATGTATGCAATTTTCTTTCTGCCCAGATGTCTGCTTCATCAGCAGTTTATTCAGTAAAGTTACAGATACACTGACGGTAGGCGTAGATGGAGAAACCATTGTTTTTATTATTGTGTGTTATATATATCGTGCGTAGATTTATATACCTTTGTTTCTAACCAGGATTGTTGTATTGTATCATGTTCTTTAGAGTGGTTATGTAGACTTGATTATGAGATAAAATTATTATTATTTTTATCTACCATGTTGTTATATTCTTAAATGTCTATATTAATTACTGGTGACTTTTTCTAACCAAGTATGTTATTTTTATTGTATTTTGTTTAGACTGGTTTTTGCTGAACGTGACATTATGGAAATCATTTGTTAACTTGAAATAGGAAAGTATAATATACGCTGGTCTGAAAAAAAGTATGTTCACGTTAAGATTCGAACACAAGACCATCAAATCATCATTTTATTGCTCTACCAAAGGAACCATGATCGAAGCTTTGGATTTTTGTATTTAATTAGTGCACGTTATTCTTGAAGCATTGCATAATACACAACAGATAAAAATTAAATCAAGGTTGGAGTAATGCCGGCGTTGGTGGTGGTTACTTCATACCTTAAATTATAAATTATATAATGTGTTTGGCCATTTAGTGTTATAGACCTACTGTATAATAAAACCACACAGCCTCAGCCTCAACTACTAAGAAAAGAAGCTGATAAAATGAATTACATAGTTATTAGTAGAAATGGGGCCACAAAAATGCTTTGCCAAATAAACATTATTTTCCTAAAGATGCTATGAATTTCATTTCAAGTAAGGCAAGAATTTTTTTAAGACCTTGTTTCACAAGCTTATTTTTTTATTTTTGGAGATTTTAAGGAAGCGTCGGGCGGAAGAAAAACGTTAAAAACTTTTAATATTTTCGGAAAAATTTCCATTTTACTGTTGGCAGTTGGCAGCTAATTGGCCAAAAATAAAATTTTATTTTTGTTGGAAATCATCATCATTGGCAGGCGGCAGGTTTGCTAAACAAAGTATAAAAATGTCTCGCTTGACCTATGATAATTTTCAACTTTGTCCAAACCATGAAGGAAGAAGTTGGCTAATAGAACAGGCTGTTGGTAAATGGTAGCTCTGAGAGTTTTGTATTTTATTTTTTGTCTTCTATTAGTTCCAGGTGTATCAAATTTAAAAATAAAAAAACTATATTTTAAATATATTTGCCGAGAGGCTGCTATTTGTACGCAGAAAATTACACTGGAAGTAATTATTATAATTAGAGTAGTACATTTGGCTTCGGCTCGTGTCAAATTCAAACCCATTAGTCAGGCCCCCTTCCTATATTTCAGACCATCAATTATGCTCCCAATCTGGTTGTCACTGACTTAAATTTGCTAGCTTAAATGTTATGGTGAGCACTCCTTTATGGTTGTTGCTTCAAACCTCTGGAGCTTTCCTGCTTCCAAAGAATCAATTTCCTTGCTAGTCATGAAACTCATCTCTTCTCATCCATCTAATTTTTTTCTTGTTGTTTTTGATGTTGTGTTGTCTTTATTTTCCTCTTTACATTTATTCTGTGTTTTTTTTTACAGTAGTACTTCTTTTCTGTTGGACAT